CCTCCCGGACCGGGGCACGAACCCGCGTCCCCTGCATCGGCAGGCGGACTCTCAACCACTGCGCCACCAGGGAAGCCCTGAATTAAGAATTTTTTAAAGCTCATCCAATCCTCATAATCTTATACAGATGCAAATCCTATCCCTCCCCCTACCTGACTAGGGACCAATATATGCCATGCACCTGAGGCCGCAGACTCCCGGAGAACCAGCGTAGGGTTTATAGAATGAAGCCCTGGACCCCACCACGACCCCCTCTGCCTCAGAGCAAAGTGCAGCGTGAGGCCAGCCGGCCCCCGCAGCCCCATGGTCACAGCTGGATCACTGCCTGGGCGCACTAAAGACACTTGCTGGGTATTCCGGGGTGTTGCTGCAGAGGCTGAACCACTCATTTTTTAAGACTGCAGAAACAGCATGGAATTGCCTGTGTTTCTTTGAGACACGAAGGAACCCCTCTCCCTTTTTCGACCATTTTTTAAATTGAAGTCTCCATTGTCCTAAATTAACTGCTTAAAGGTTTTTTCATTTCTGTGCTGTTTTCCATGTCATGTTGTTTCCGTTAGGAAATGAGCCTAAGCATAAAGCACAGCAGCAGCAGCTTGGTGGGATGGATGGCCCACAAGTAATGGCCTGGCCTGGCTTTGTCCCCATGGATGTGCCATTCAACCCCTCCCCGCCCCCATCCCTCAGGAGAGTGGAGATTCTATACATGCCTTATTTAGCTCCATGGGCTATTGTGAGCCTCAGAGAAAGTGAAAGTGTTTGCCAAAAAGTAAAAATTCAGTGTAAGTGCAGGAGTCGTCATTATTATGAGCAGCACATCCCAGCCCCGCCTGGGTGTCCGGCAGTGGCTTTGCCAAGGTGAGCGGAGGTTGGTACCCACCTGCCCAGCACCTGAGCCTGAGTGAGGGCTCATCACCTGCAGCCTGCTATTTCTGTTCTTATGAAGTTCTGCTCCTTCACCTGCAAAAGAGTGAAAGCACTTTCACGACAATAATACCAAAAGGAAAAAGAATTTCCATAATTGCCAATTGGAAAAGGCATGAGGTTTTGCCCTTCAGGCACCTTTTATCCAATAAGAGTTTTTGTAGTTCATCATTTAAAACAAAAACAAAAAAAAACCCCTATGACCACTGTTGCCTGTCACTCTGAAAGGAAAACTCTGATTAAAAACACACTAGGCTTTTCTGTATCATGTCTCCGTCTGTCCTGATATACAAGGAAAAGGAATAAAAGCTGTTCCTGGTGGAATAGACAAGGATGAAGCACCTCCATTTCCACTCTGTGTGCACACTCCACTGACATTCTGTAGATATTCTGGGGAGCAGAAGGAAAACATGAATGAAAGTAGTGCTAGAGGCAGTCACTCCTGGACCCAGCTAGAATGTAGCGTCCCTCACTGAGCCATGGGGAGCTGAATAGCTAAAGGTCTGAGATGTCCCTGTGCACAAAAGTACCATGGCTAGGGCTTCCCTGGTGGCGCAATGGTTGGGAGACCACCTGCTGATGCAGGGGACGCGGGTTTGTGCCCCGCGGCTGGGCCCGTGGGCCATGGCCACTGAGCCTGCGCGTCCGGAGCCTGTGCTCTGCAACGGAGAGGCTGCGGCAGTGAGAGGCCTGCGTACCGGGGGAAAAAAAAAAAAGAAGAGGCTCGTGTGCGGCGGAAGTACCGGGCGGGAGGGTGTGAGCCTCCGGGCCTGAGCTGCACGTGGCGCCGGTGAGTAGCGGGAGGGGGCCGGGCGGTCTGAGGATGCTGGAGGGGGAACCCAGCGGGGGGGGGGGGGGGGTGCGGGGGGGAGTACCATGGCTAGTCCTGGAGCTGCCTTGTGTTTGCCCTGGGTTACATCTGCCATCTCCCCTAAGGCCCAATAAGGAATGAGCTGAAATCCACCTCCTGGTAACATGCGTTGCTCAGACCCTGTCCAGAATCACGTACACATCATGTTGACAGTGAATTTCTACTTTTTAGTTTTAGGGTTGTTTTATGTAACACCCTAATTACTTAATATTTAGGTGTGTCCATCTGTTTGCTATTAACAATAAAAATGCTCTAACACTAGTTTTTAGAAGTCTGGAATACTGGTGCTTGAAATGTTTGGAGGAATACATTCAAATACATTTGTAACTCTGTAAATCAGTGACTGTCTTGGCTGGGTGGCAGATTTTGAGTTTTCTAGTATATCTGGCTCACCAGATACATAAATTGAGGGCCAGACACTCATTCCAATATCTTTGATTAACTTTGGAATTAAAATAATTTGAAAAGGAAATAGCTTACTGTTAGTAAAATTGTTCTGGGTTGTGGGGAAAACAGAAGTATTTTTAAATGAACATTTTGGGGGCTATTTTTCAATAAGGTAACCATATGTGATGGATTTTTTTTTTAATGTATGTTATAATATGAAATAGAAAAGGACCATTAAACCAGGGGTTGGCTCACAGCCCAAATCTGGCCTGCCGTCTGCTTTTGTACAACCAGAGCTAAGTATGGTTTTTATATTCCCAAAGGAGTGGTTGGGGGAAAAAATCAAAAGAATACTATTTCGTGACACATGAAAATTTTGTGAAATTCAGATTTCAGTGTCCAGAAATAAAATTTTATTAGAACCCAGCCACATCCATTCATTTACCATATGATCTATGGCTACTTTCTTGGCAAAGTTGAGTATCTGCAGCACAGACAGTATTGCCCACAAAGCCTGAAGTATTTACTCTTTGGCTTTTTACAGAAATAATTTGCCAACCCCTGATCTAAACCAAGAGGGAGATATTGACCTTCCCCCATTTATGAGGCATTATATCATTTTATTGAACACCTACTGTGTAAAAAATACTTTTCTGGGCCTTGCTCCAGTGAATTCTCACCAAGAACTTACCAGCAATTATCACGTAACTCATATGAAATTACCCAGAGAATGGGAGTCTATTGGCCTTGAAAAAAACACTTCTCCATTTACTTTCCCCAGCTATGCAGGGATTCTCATTTAAAAAGCTCCTCTGTACCTATTATCTTTATCCATTTGAGTAGCTTTTAAATACAATTTTATGTCAAGCGCTGGTTCATCTACCTATATTTTTATGTAAAGACTCAGTGAAAGTAAAGATCAGAAGCACAATGCAAATAACTATTTTATTGTAAACTTGTATCATTAACTTTAAACTGTGCCACATGACTGCCTTCTCGGAAGGCTGGAGCCCAGGGTTTTAACTGTTCACGAGCAGCTATGGTAGATAGCATTTTACTTGAATGATATTTATGCTGTGATTTTTTTTTGTGCTGTATTTTATGGGATAAAACTTGGGAATAAGTGTAGTTGGAAGTGTGGAAATATTTTGTTTTTAAAATGTGCACATAATTCATTTTTCCAGTTTTTGATAATTGTATGTGTGTGTCAGTCTTGTCAGCAGAGTTGTGCATGTGTAACTAATAAAGGTTGAATTAACAGAATTTCCTCTTTTTATGTCAAGGATTCTGGTTTGTGGGTTTTTTTCTTGCCGGTTCATCATATGAGTTTACCTTGGAGATTATTAGACCAGTTTGGATATGTATGCCACCCCAAAATATGACTGTAGGAGTTCAGAACATGCCAGCCCAAAAGATGCCACTTTGGCATAGGTTTTTTGCGAGCTGAAGGCAATTAAGAAGCAGATACAAGAAAAGCCCTCTCTCTTCCCTTCCCCCCTCCATTTGCCTAAAAGCAGGATACAGATTTATAAAGTTGCTCCCCTCCCCGCATCAGGAGGGAAGGACAAAGGTTAATTCCCAGAGACAACTTCAGGCCCAATCAGCCTGCAATCTAAATAACAAATTTTACTAACTAGCTTTTATCTCTGCCCTTGAAAGCCTACAGCTGCTTTCCTCTGTCCTGTCATTTCTCCAGAGATGTATTGTTCTTTGTTGAAATGCTCCATCAGCTGAAGTTTTAAGCCACCTCTTCGAGTTACTCATTTCTCCCTGTGTCCCACGTTTACATGAGATAATACATGTTAATAAACTTCTGTTTGTCTTTCTCGTGTTAATCTTTCATCGCAGTGGTCTCAGCCAAGAACTCAGAAAGGTAGAGGGAAAATTATTTTTCCTCTCCTACATGTATAAATGGTGCTCCCTTGACTAGTGCGTGAATCTCTTGGGCAGGGAAACTGCCTGTGAAATTTGGTACCCTAGCACCTTCCTACAGTAAGGCCTGTAACAGGGAAGAACATTTTACATTCTATTACAAGTTAATCACTAAAGGGATGTTGCCTATAAGCTTAAACTACACATAACAGCCCATCTCTGGGAACCCTGCTTCCCAGGTAATGAGCATTAAGCTAAAATACCTTTGTTTAGCTCACAGGAAACATCCTGACCAGGCCCACCTGTGAATGACTGCAGGGAGGAAGAAATTAACATATCCCTTACAGAGGCCGACCCGAACCAGGAAATGTTTGACTTTACTCCCTCCCCTTTTAGTATAAAAGAAACCTGCATTCTAACTCAGGCAAGATGGTTCTTTGGGGCATGTTCTTCTCGGTTTGCTGGCTTTCCGAATAAAGTCCTTATTCCTTGTCTCTTGATTATTGGCCTGTTGTGCAGTGAGCAGTACAAGCTTAGACTTGGTAACAGGCCTGTCGTATGGTTCGCGCTCATTAAATGTTTGTTGAACTAAATTGAGGATTTACCTGGTTTGCAGGTGTGGTTGCCTAAGAAAGGAGCAGCCTCCAGCTTTCTCAAATTCACCAGCTTCTCTCCTCTACATGTGCCACTGTTATCCATTATGTACTTTTTTCAAAGGTTGCGTTTTTTGGATACAGAAATGTATGAGAAAGACATTTTTGAAACCCTGCCATTCAGATATAATCACTGTTAATTATTTAAACAGCAT